ATCAACCTCGTGCAAGCTTATCAAGAAAGAATACATATTGATTAGTCACACCGAGGTTCAAGGAAAGTCGGTTTCGAAATGTCTACACTAATATTACGATGATAATATGACTCACTTTTCCCATCAAATGCTTAGTTACGGTTTCAGCAAGTCTGATATTTATCAAATGAACCGATTCCTGCTGAAACAGAGCGCTAGTAAATCAATCTCCATGTGAAGATCAGTACTCATTGATTATTTATGTAAAATATATTTTAAAGTGGAAGCGAGATAACGTTTGTAAAAATGAAAGTGGCCTCATGAAGTCTGTTCTCTATTCTGCTCCAGATTGCCTCCTTTTCGCGAACTTAATATACTCATACATGTGTGTGGTCTATAGGAATTCGAAAAGAAGAGACTTTCGTTCTGCTATCATTGGAAAAGTTTCCGATAAGGCAATGCGGTATAGAACAAACAAAGGAGAAATTGAACGTTGTGCGAATCACCCAGTATAAAACGCTACAAAAAAATGGACTAGAAAAGTAGAATGAAGGTTTTGCTTTTTCCTCACACCTTACGCGTTATGGGATCATCACTTCATTCCGCGCAAAATTCTGGATTTGAGGTAAGCTACTACTGACAACATCGAAAAATGCGATAGCTTCATTCAGCAGTATGCTGGTGCTATAAAGACGAAAATTTCAAAGGAACCACCCACATCTGTCCGTATTTGGAAAACTTTGCAAATTGAGGTGTAAAAGGTGACCTCAAGAGGAAAAGTGGTTGATGGTGCAAAAGTTTGGAAGAACACCCCTAGTAACTGCCAAAACTTTGCCGAACGCAAGATCAAGATGGTTGCCGTCCGATGGTCTTCGCCGGTCCGTCATGTTGTTAAGAGATAATCAACAAATTGAAGCGGCTTTCTGTACTTTATTTTTTAGGATCTTCCTAGTCACTAAAAAAGAATCAGAAGAACAACTTTGATAACCGTCGTTGTCTCTGAGCTTCTTCGGTCCTAGCCGTCTGTTTCTCTATGTATCATTTTTTTGACCTATTGCACGAGAAAGTCCACTGTTTGCACGATGCTTTATGGATTTAACTTCAAATGTACAAGCATACTAGTTGCAATCCTTGTTCAAAAGAGTATAAGCGTTGTATAGGTAGATGACCACTGATTTCACAAAAGATGAGGTAGAATCAGAAGATTTCAACACTACTCTGAACAAGGTAAAATGGCAGTGCATTTATCACCGAAGGATCCATACACTGAGCTATTCATTGGAGGTCCAGAAAATTGTTTATACGCCTGCATACTCTCTTCCAGTTTCCTAACTGAATGGGGGTTTAGATACGAACTACTCTAACAAAGTGACTACGCCACTTTACATTTTTTCTTCTATGGAGAAAATGTCTTTGTATGCCTTACAAATTTTAACTCTTGCAACATTATTTCTGATGCCTTAGATGAAAGGACACTATTTGGAAGTTAAGCAAATGTTTAAAAATGACGAGATAGATAAATTAGGACTGCAAGTAAGAAATAAGCCGTGAAAATACTTACAGCTGGTATATCTCGCCTGTCAGCAGTCATTATAGAGGTTGGTTCCTTCTGAACAACGACAGAAACGTCCTTCTGTTCTTTCGATAGACGTTTACGCGGAGGTGGAACCGGAGGATAGTGTTCCTGTTCGGTAGTCTGAACAGCTTGTTCTACTGACTGCTCGGTTACAAACTCCACTCTTTCTACGGCCTTCTGTACTCCATGGGCAACTTGCTGTGAGGCTTGTACGGCCCGCTCTGTTAACTGAACGATTTTGATATTCGTCGGTGTTGAGAGGAATTTCGCTGACACAGTGGCTTTTTGTGATTCGGTGTATCTGACGATTTCTTCCAGCTGTTCGTCTTTATGGTGAGCGGAGATGTTTGCCACCACTTGTTCAAGTTTATCTTGCTTGTTGTATTTGGCGAGCGTTATTCTGACCGTATCACCGGCATTTTCTAAAATATCTCTGATTTAGAAGCAATAATATGTTTCCAATGCTCTAATTCTGACTTCGTCACTGAAATCATCACCATGATGAAAAACACTTTGGATGGAAAAGCTTTGCTACTCCAGAACTGTTTTGGAAGAAAAAGTCTATTGCTGTCTCAAAATTGATGGGAGAATATAATTAATCGAAGAAAATGTAGCAGTACTCCTTTTCCCATATCAGAGTATACTTGGGAAACGGTTTTAAGGAACATCGTTTGGTGTTAATCACTATCTTCCAATATCCGTTATAAATTATGATTTTGGAAAAGTAGAAAGCAAGACAAACGAAATTTTAGTCGATTGTTGTATCACAAGTGCATGGTAATCGGGAAGAATCGATTTTGTGCATTAGTAAAAACTATTTAGCTCGTAGCTAATGTCACACCTTATAGAGATATCTATTTGACCTACTCTAATTCTAGTTCAGGAAAATTCATTCTATTACTCACCGGTTATCACTTTGACTTGAGTCGGTAGCACAGTCGTACCGTGAGAGTTCGTAGCACGACAGTAGTATGTCCCTTCCTGGACTTGGGTGATATTCTTCAGAATCAATGTCGCTACCTTGTTCTCATATCCCATACTGATTCTGCTGTAATTAAAAAACATGGAGCAACGAAAATCTGACCACAAATGAGAGGAGCGGGAAATTTGAAATGATACGATGAAGTAGTGTCAATTTTGCAAGGTTGGTCAACACTTACTTGGTCACATATAGCTTTTCGTCCTCGAAGTACCATTCAATGAACGGTGTAGGAACTCCCGATACGGCTGTGGTGATGGTGAGAGTCTCGTTCTCTTTCACGACGCATCTTTCAATTGAGGATTCGAATCTTGGAATAGTTGTTGCACTGAGCTCTTCTTCCTAAAGTATGTCATGCAGTAGAAATAAAATATATTAGAAACATCATAATGAGATCTGTTTGGATGTTTTTGAATGCTTTAGTACTTCATGAACTCCGAATAAAAATGCTTAGACAAACAGATATTTTTTATCAAACCATTTTTGCACAACGGAAGTCCTTATGTTAAAGAAGGACTTCATCATTTCATGCTAACTTTTGCAATCGGCCAGTATTACTACGCTTACAAAAGATCGCTGATTTACTTGCCAGACTTATTTATCAACAGGTCTTCGTCTTATAGTTATGAAACTTCTTACAAAACTTCTGCTTAGAATTCCAAAATGACCTTGCCATCTACGAGAGTATGACTTTCGGGTTGGCATGTTGTGGAAAAGTACCCGGTGCTCATGTCCTACTATGCTTGGTATTCACCATTAAGCTTTTGCACGTCCAGATAGGCTCCAAAGAGGTTGTCGACGCAAAGTTTTTCACTTTAGCTGGATTGAAATTACATATTTAATTCGCATCTTCTTAAGGTTATGGAACTGAGTCAATGACTACCTACTAACATGATCCTTACAGACTCTGAAAAAGCCAAGTTCGCCGAATCCATATCCATTTTGAACTAAACGTTTTGTTAACAACCTCATGTCGGTTTAACCAAAACACTAACATATTAATATTAAGTTCAACACAGCTGCTTACCTCTTCGCTTTCTTCTTCTACGATTCTCTTAACAGCTTCATGAACTGCAGTGACGAACACATTAGCGACAAGTGCACTCGCTACGCTGTCCGCAACTTTCACAAGAAGTTTATATTCCTCTTAAAAATTTGAATTCTAGTATAAAAACGCAAGTCATTAGTTTATCAGACATTGTGTTTCCAACTTTCTTGTATCCGTTTAGGAAACTATCTGGTTAGTATAATCAGTCGACAGCTGATTCAACCTGCATAAGACTGACTTGTAGAGATTCGGCTTGTTTTTGGTTATGCTTAGAAAACGAAGTAGTTAATTCGAAATCTATGTGACGTTGTGTTCTCTCCATGGAACGCCTAGTCGTTGGATGAATATCAAAACATTTCTTGAAGAAGCTTGATGAATTTCATTTAACCCTTAACAAATGCACGTATAGATCTCCGAATGGAAGGAGAGCAATTTTTCGTCGGTTGCGAACTGTCTGGTTTTTTTCGGATTAAAAAGTAACTTTTCAATAACTACAATCATACAGGGGTTGTGAACATGATGGAGTTGTAGAAGAGACATTATTCTATCGTTCTATGGGTATGAGTGGTTTGTATGCCACTGTTTACTGTGTGTTACTGGGACCCATAACAGGCGTGTGGCGTAGTGCTTAGAGGCCCACTGCGACATAAACGTGGAATCAATCCTCGCGTCCATGGCCCACCAAGCCTTCCATCCATCCGAGGTCGGTAAATTGGTACCAGATTTGTCTGGAAGGGTGGCAGCACTGGCTCGACATCGGTAGGCTACTGCGAGTACAGTCGAGTAAAGGCCAGATAAGCATTTAATCACCTCCAACCATACGTAATGAAGTCGAATGCATGGTGCATCCCTTAGGGATTGATCAACGTCGAGAGCTTCATCTTTTCTCTTTTTTTAGTGTGGCCCATTATGAAAGTACATTGCTGTCCGTGCTTAGAACTATTTTGCACCCTGTGCTAAATCTATTTCGGTGTTTTTGTATCCATACTTTCCATAAAGTAACCGTAGTGATTGAATTGAAACAACAGTTAATTGTTTGTCAGATTACCGATCAATGAAATTTTACGGGAAAAGTTTTTTTGTGATTCATTAAGCCTGGAGAATGCCTTTCCTGGTCTCTCTACTATTTTCGTCGACTTTCGATCATCTGTGGAATGAACAAACACAGTTTAGTGAGAAAAGTTCTGCAACCCATTGAACTGAAGATGGATACCATAGCGCCCAAACCGGGCGTTGTGGGTTAAACAAGACGCAATCTATTGAAAGTTAGTAATAGTGAGTTATTGGAGGAAAAAATATCCAATCGTTTTCCGATAAAGAGATGAAGAGAGAGAAAGAGAGAGAGAAGAAATTACAACATTTGACGCGTTTTTTTGCAATTTATTAGTCTTTGTCCATCTGGAAAAGTGAACGGAATGTATATTTTTTATAAACTACACATTTTATTAAAATTGACTCATCCTTTCATTCTTTTTTTCGTCCTATTTTTCCGTTCTTCTCTTTCCCATATATGTTTTATCATAATAAATGAATGACGAGCAAAAGTTTACAGGCAGATTTTTATAATAAAAGTTACCACTTATCAAATTTGTCACGTAGCGAATGAATGAGTAAGAAGAAAGGTTCGTGAAAGAAATGATGTACCTGGCACTGTTATTGATTACTAAACTCTGGTAAGATTAGGGACTTCTAAGCAATTTTGTTTCCAAAAAAAGAAACTCTGTTTTTCCTTCTGCCGCTACTTCATACACATCTATGACATCGGAATCCTACTCAATTCTTATTGGAAGAAAATTTGTAGATTTATTAGTTTCAAACTTTTCTAACTAACCTTCACGTTTCGTGATTTCCGTAGTGGCCACATAATCCTCTTTGTTCTCTTCAATTACTTCGTGGCGTTCTTCAACCACTGTAGTCGTTTGTTTCGACGATTCGGTCATCTTTTCCGTGATGATGGTCTTTTTCGGAATGAGTACCTCACAACTGCTGTTGGACATACCATGAACAGATTCTGCTTTGCAGGTGTATGCACCTGTAAATGTTCACTTTTAAATATTCTAAGCGCTGGAAGTGAAACTTCTGCTACTGCACTGTTAAATGAATGAAGAATGTTATACCTTTTTGTTTTCTGCCTATTATAATTTCGCGGCAGGGTACTAAGTGAAATACAACCACAACGTTGCTGAGATATTTGCAAAACTCTGGACCGCAGGTGTCTATGGTGGGGAACGAACGCGCTATTGTCCTTTCCGGGGAGTAACGCATTCACCACCACACCATGCGGGCCGAAATTGGCATAGAACCCAGTTGAAGGGGCGCCCCAGATCAATCCCGCTGACGGGTGATGCATATGTAGAAGAAAAGTACTTTTGTAAAAAAAAGTTGTCGACTGAAGATTGCCTTTAGAGTATTGGAACAATGCTAGATGACGGTATCAAAGCACAAGAAGAAACGTTGCAGTGGATGTTTCTTTTGATAGAAATAGCTGAGAGACAGGCGAAACAAAGGACCTGCATGGTGCGGTGGTGAACGCGTTACGCCCCGGAAAGGACAATAGCGCGTTCGTTCCCCACCATAGACACCTGCGGTCCAGAGTTTTGCAAATATCTCAGCAACGTTGTGGTTGAATGAAGAATATTGAACATTGGAAGTCAAACACAGCAGTTCTTTTTTAAATTTAAAACTCCTGTTAGTCACCATTGTCAGATTCGCTTGGCGTGTAGACGGTCAGAATCAGTGCGCCATCAGAGAATTCATGAAATTCGTATTTTTCACTTGAAAGGAGTTCCACTTCATCCTTCCACCATGAAATTTTGACTGGAGCGGAGCTGAAATATTAACAGCTCACAATATAAAAGGGAGATACATCATACTGTATGTATAACTTTTCTTTACTGCTATTATTTTCAATGACAGGGTATAGTGTGAAACCAACCACAACGATGTTGAGATATTTGCAAAACTGTGCCCGACAAAATCCGGCAGTGCATGTGTTTGAGAGAATCGATAGCTTTGCAAGTATCTTAGCAAGATTGTGATCGTAAGCAGCATATCATTCATTCCCTTTCATTCTTTTCTTTCTTTTCTTTTCTTTTTTTCTTTTTTCTTTCACTTTCTTCAAATTCGTCAGATAGATAGGAACCAGTGAATCAAGTTCACTCGTCTCCTCTACAAAACATAGTTTTTCGTTAACGTTTCCAATTTTTTCTATCATAATCAGTATCGTAACAGAGGTTGGATTACCTTGTAATTCTGCAAATCAGCCGCACATAGTTCAAATTATGTGCGCCATCGGTTTCTGCGGTAAGCTGTTCGACAAACTTTGGCGGCGATTCAGGTTTCTCAGGCACCAAAACGGATGCTAAGTCGCTTACTGAAGCATCCTCGCGACTTTTTTGGCAAGTGGTTCCTAAATAAAAACGAAATTCTTTATGGCACTTGACAGCCTATGAGTCGCTCCTTCAAGTTGTGTGATTTACTATGAAGTTTTCTTTTAATGCTCGTCTTACTTTTATAGTTGTTCTACTTGCTTATCCTGTTCTCAAGATTTTTTAAAGAGTTCATCTGTTATTTGTGCTGAAGCCTTTATTACAGAGATGCTATAAAAGAATATTTTGAGAATATGCAAAGTGGGAATTAACAGTACTTACATTATGAGTATAAGCTTTTTCTCTACTTGTCTGTTTCTTAGTCGTTTTCATTCTTCTCAGATTCTTTTCTTCCTAACTTAGAGAACGCTATAATAGTTAATCCAATACCTGGGTAGTAATGTTATTCCAGGCATTAAATTTTAGATTTATATTCATTTTCACAAAAAATATTTAAATCCGCCTTTCTAAGCGTTAGAGAGTGAACCATTCTCACCAACAACATGGACAAATGCCGCTGTTTCGGCAGTACCGTGTGAATTCGTGGCAGTGCATTTGTACAGACCGGTGTCTTCAAGACAAACTTCTGGATTCATCATCTCGCAAATCCCACCAGGAAGTACCTGAAGGAATAGAGAGAGGCTTGGTCGAAATAGACCTCATCTTAGCGAATATAATGGCTAAGATTTAGGCGTTTTCCTTCCATGTGATGATATTTCTCTAGCCTAATTCACTGTGGAAGGTGATCAGAATCAAATGAAAATTTTAAAAAATGGTGGCTCATTACCCGAGTGACAACATCCTTGTTGATAACCCACTCTTCGATATTAATATCGTCCTTGTGCCACATTATCACTGCCGACGGAACAGCTTCAATGCGACAGCGAAGAAGCATTGGCTGCCCTATAAAAGATGAAATAGTGATTAAATTACTACTCAACGAGATCAAAGGATAAAGCTAATCGGACAACAGCAACTGCTGAACCATTGTGTTACAAAGTAAACCTAAATTTTTTACTTTTATGTCTTTAATCTATTTCTCGAATATCCACTGGTTTATTACGGTATCCTCCCAACGGTTTACCGCCTCATCGTGGCCAGGAGGTATTCTGGTGTTGGACTGCGATGTACAGCGAAGAGATTCATCCCTTTAGCAGGATATTTCAAGCCGAGAAGGCGTTTTGAGCAGGAAGTCCAACTAAGAATAAACCAATATCAGGACCCACTACCGTCCCGGCATCAAACTAGTCGCATGGTGGAAAATCCCCTCTGATCCACAGGAGCGGCGACTGCCTGTAGCGGTGACAAGCTGGGGTAGACTTTGGGCAGTCTAACCTCGCGATGTCAGGGAACCGCAATGGCTGAACCAGCAAAGCTCCGATAAATGGGAAATATGCTGGGGCTCGCACAACTAGTGAGGACGGGCCGTCCAAGTATCCAAGTAAGTGTTACGGTTTAGATATTTTTACTCTGTAAGACAACGGTGATCATGAATTCGACATAACAAAGCGACTGGACGCCGGTAAAGATAGAAACAACAGTGTCTGCGTTATCCTTCTCACTTCCAGAGAAATTATCTATCTTGTAGTGGTAAAAGGGACAACGCTGTGGATCAGCTTCACACGAATGGATAACTCGCCACTATATCTGAAATGAACATTTTCAGGTGGTGAAGAGCGGTATGAAAGCGGACCAAAGCGATCGTGTTTTTTTTCCAAGGAGCAAACTATTCCAGGTAGTGTGCTCGCTCTCTGCTGCGTTAGATTGACCAGTCCTTATGAATGTTATACATGCGTGAATGTGCTTCTATGTACCTGCACTGTGCCCTACATGCCATTTCGGGTAAAGGTTTACCTATAAATAGACCTCATGACTAACCCCAGCAACAAGCTCTTGAGCAGACCATTATTTGTCTTTAGTGGCGACCACTCCACAGTCGCTCGGTGCAAAACGGCATTGTACATGATAGAAGTGACGCCAAAGATCCTTGCAAGGAGCAATTCAACAAACATTTTGATTAAGAAATGAAAGAGAGCGTCAATTATTCCCAACCTTGCTTTTTGCACTATTTATTACATAATCAGAGAAGAAACAAATTGTCTTACAGTGCACCACAAAACTTATAGTTTCAGTTACCTTGGATGAATGATGCTGAATGCAGAGGTTCGATTATTCTTGGCGCTATTTCCTCCGGCAAATCCCCTGAAACCATTTCAAACGACTCATCTAGTCCTGAAATAAACATAATGAGGATGAATTCATTACAAAAATTTTTTCGGAAATGAAGCGTGAGAACTTAAAGAAACTAAAAAGTGATTTTGTTAAAGCAAAGTTAGAGCGTAGCAGTGCAGAACTCACTCTTTGCAACGTTCAGGTTTGCTGAAGTGATTGAAGTACCGTGTTGATTATAAGCCACTGCACTCACTTTGACATCATTCATATCTCCGATGTTCTTTATTAGAAGTGAACTCTCGTGCCCGCTTGACTCTATTAGTACTTGATCACCAGAAGTGATTCGAAGTTCGTTTGCATACCATTCGAATGTACAAGGTCCACTCTCATCATTTACTTTCACTCTACATTTTAGCGTATCTCCCTCAACCATGTCCTGATTTTCCAATTTCTCCACAAAAACTGGAGCTTTGTCTATCACAACCTTGTCGTCCGCTCGATCAGTTACTTGTGAAACTAGTTTAATAACCGTTTTTGATCGGGCGCTACCGTTTTCGTTCTCGACATTCACTTCAACAACGTTGCCATTTTCGAGAGGCTTCCTCAAAATCAGCATTGCTCTGTTGCCCTCTGTAGAAACCTTGGACTCCTCTTCATCTTTAATTTCCATTCCATTCAGTAGCCAAGTGAACTTAAATGGTGGTGTACCTGATACAAGAACCTCGAATTTTGTTTCTTCTCCATGGTAAGTGGACGTTTCGGGTAGCAACGGATTAATGAAGAATGGTGTCGGAGCAATGTGAGGTTCCGATCGGTGTTCTACGATGACTTTACAAGAGCAAGAATCCTGCCCTAAAGGATTTTTGGCTATGACGTCGTATCTTCCATGTTGACCAATCTGAAGGCTTAATTCGGAAACGTTGGCGGCAATCCTCTTGATAAGCACGTTACTGCTTTGCTTCAGTTCGAAATTGTTTAGTAGCCATAAGAATGTAGCCTCTGGAACGGCGTCTACTGTAACTCTGAATGTGATTGGATCAGTGAAATTAATCTTCAACATGGTTGGTAATTTTTCAATTAAACGCGGTGGTTTGGGTAAGTCATCTCGAATATTGATTGTTGGTTTCTTCCCCACTGCAAACATCCCGGGCTTTTCTACAGAGGCAATAACGGTGCGTTCCTTTTGCTCTTCCATAAGTACTTCTGATATTACTTTAGTGATAGCAGTCACTTCACCAAGCGAATTGCTAGCTACTACCTTGTAATATCCTGTAACCGGTTTTGAAAATGAAGCAACGCTTACACTCTCATGTGGCTGTGAGATGGAAGTTAATGGTCCGTTCTTTACCTCGAAGTTATTCACATACCAACAAAAGGTTGCGGGAGGAGTGCAGTCGACTCTCACTTCCAGGTTCAAGGTTTCTCCAATGCCTACATGTATGTTTTGGCTAGGAGCCGACAAAAGAATAGGTTTTCTTGGAATATTTTCCTGGGATCTTGAAATTGACACCGACTTAGTCAGAGGACTGGTCTCCGAGATTTTATGAGTCGATGAGCCGTTAGCACGTTCTGCTCGAGGTGTTAGCCCATTCACCATCTGCCCCCACATTTCTACTTCATTGATCGTCTCTCTCACTTTTTCGATTTCTTTTTTGGTTATCGGAATTTCCTGAGCTGCAGCAGTATGAATGGGTTCTATATTTCTCGTCTCTTTGACTGAGGTCTTCGACGGAGTAGAGCTAATACCGTTCAAGGTTTCTCGTTCGTCCTCGTTCCTACTTGTTACTGTTACCGACGACTCCACCACTATATCGGACCTGGTGCTCGCCTCTATTTTGACCCCCTTCTGGATCTCTTCTGAAATGCTATAAGTTTCATGCACTTCATGTACTACCTTTGTCGTTACGCTTTCTTTGCCATGATCATTAAATGCTGTGACAGTGTAGTTTCCTTGCTTAACAGGCGGTTGCACTACTAACGTCGATCGGTTCTGTTCATTCATCAGCGTAATATTCTTTGTTGACCTCACTTCAAACCCGTTCACGTCCCACATAAATTGCGCCCTGGGGTTAGCCGAGACTCCGACAGACAAAACTAATTTCTCTTTTGGTTTCAATGTTATCTGCGATGGCAGAGTAGTGAAGAATTTAGGCGGATGGGGCAAATCACGATCACAGCCTTCGCTTCTCGTTTTGTAGAGTGATCGTGGTAGGCGGTCTGGTAGTTTTGAACCGAGTTCTGAAAAGCATTTAGTTCACACGAAGGTCAGTAAATCGAGTCAAACAACCTTGGTTGTTTTTTTATTGTCGTTGTAGATTCAATAACTAATATATTTCCGTTTTCACTACTCTTTTTTAGGATATCAACCTCGGAAATTTTGAACGATGGTTTTTTTTAGCAAAACTGATAAAAGAATCTATATCTCATGAAAGGGATAGCCAAGGAGACATAGTTCTTCTGAGGTTTATATCTTCGTTAATACTGCATAATACTACATAAGAGTTGGTTTATAAAAGGAGTGTTATTTGAATCTAATACTAATTAGTTAGCGGTATCGTTACAGAATAATAAGGATATCCGAAGCGTTAGTCGTTTGCGTGGGCGTAGTTTGTAAAAATCATTACCATTTCGAAAATATCGGAATAATTGAGCCTTAGACGAGTTAATGCAAAAATGTGAATTCCAGCGATGAAGACGAAGTAATGCTATTCATCGCTAAAGAATTTCATAAAATGTCTTCATAGAGTTGAATGCGTTGCTTATCTACAAGCAAAAGAGATTAGCCCTTATTACACAATGTAATAAAGAGGATAGAATTAGTTTGGATGGATAAAGACTAAAGGAGATGGATGTAGGTAGTTTAGTGATCCTATTTTCAACGTCCAGCAATAGTTTACCGCTTCATTGCTGCTGGGAAGTATTCAGTGGTGTCAAGATGTACAGCGAGGAATTCATCTACACAGCATGAGCGCCTGTGTTGAGACCGAGGTTGACAAATCCATCCGGAAGCCTAGCTATGAGTAAAAATTATTGATATACCGGCATGGGACAGACTTTGTTCAGGCTATTTTCGGGACTCCAGGGAACTACAGTGACTAAACCACCAAGTCTCCGGAGAATGGGAATTATATTGGCGCCCGCACAACCAGTGAGTACGGGCTATCCAAATGGCCAAGTGTATGTTCAAGATATATCAGCAGGGATTCGTTAAGCAATGGTAATGTATTCGGGAAGCGCTAGTAAGCTTTCCCAGACTCCAGGAAAAGTAAGTAGTGCCCGAGCAGCACATTAAAAGTCAAATGAGAATTGCGCTGAGATTTACACGATTCCTCGTAATCCGTAAATGCTGGCCATTTAACGTATTCTAACATGTAAGTATTGTGGTATGATCGTAATTAAGTTATTGGCTGGAGGGCTTTTAGATATAAATATGATCAATAATTTTTAACATGGTTGGTACTGTAAGTGGGGAGGGAGAAAACCGGTTATGAATAGTTAAACAGATGATGTTCTTAGGATAAGAGCAAGTTGTTTGACTCGACAATGATTTATCACATGCATATTGGTGAGCATATGACAACTACACAACAGAGGTCATGGCGAAAGAGTAGGATGAACAACACAAGCAGTCTAAGGCAGAAAACTCTTTTGAAAGATTTGTCTCCGTTTGTAACATACCAGCGCGAAGACGTTCTACAGGAATATTCCTTGTTGAGGGATGAGGTCTCTCAACATGTCTCTCCAAATGTCGAACACCTCGTGGAACACTGGATGAACGTTGAGAGTAGTTCATTTCGTATACGTCCACGGTCTAAAACGTAGTAGAAAATGCACCAGATTAAGCGACTGGTGATTTTTTTAGTGATTCTGAATATGTTGCACATCGATATCTCTAAAGGATGTTTTGAAAACGACGCATTAATATTCCTATGCGAGGTTAATAGAAAGTGGATCCTGGGAACTAAAGATCTATGTTGAGAGAGTCTACCATAGATAACCAGTGCCCCATTTATATGAGTGTTAAAAACTTAAATGGTTAGATTTTAAATTGCTCCAACTCTATTAACATCAACTTCGACAAGAAAAATACCAGTTCTCAATAATACTCGGACGTTTTCATTCCACTCCTGAGCTAATCTTCTGTGAGAGTAAACCGCCTTAACGATTCAATTCAGCTTACCTGACTGGTTTGCACCGTTTCTTGCTCACCAGGTCCAGCACTTCCACTATGACGATTAGTTGTCATCATATTACGTGACAGATGCTCGCCAGGGATGAGTGGTGGCCGCATTTGTTTGGAAGGAATCGCTTAAAAACAGTGATAGAAACGAAGAACGATGGCATTATAGTGTTCGTTGATAGTGGCTTTGGAATAGCAGTATCTTCTAATATTATTTGTGATTGTTGTGCTCTCTAGGAAAGTTATTAAGTTACTTGGACAACATTCTTCTGGGCACCCCCTACATGGAATGTTTCCCGCATGTATTTTTGATAAATGCTGAAAAGATATAGTTGCCTAAACCACTTCTTACATAGACTCTATAGAGCTTAATCACTCTTATATGTGTCTACGATACATAGATCCTATAGTTCCGCAATCTAATCATGCACATAACATTCCTATCATCCATTTCGTTTTCGCCATCATTTCATTAAAATAAAAATAATAAATAAAACACACCACCTTTATGAATTTCCAAATATCCACAGCTCATCGCTGAACCGAAAAGATTTGATGCAACTACTTTGTACTCGCCAGAAACTGGCAGTGCAAACTTGGCAACACAACGATTCGGAGACGGATAGTGGAATTCCACATTACTCGATGATTCACGGTATTCACGGCCGTTCACGGTCCATAAAAATCTAAAAAGAAAAGCGTTAAGATTTGTAACCATCAATCTAGCCATAATCGAAGTCGTTAATTTAATCGTTTAACGTTCATTGAGAGCGAACAGAATGAAAAAGAGTTTTGAATAGTCGGTAATCAAACCGAACCTCTTGACGGATTAATATATAACGGATGGTGCGCATTCTATACAATCTTATGTGGTGCCCTTAGCGGTCGATGTGACTTATATGTGAGTCATCTCTTTGGATGGTTTATTTTAGCGCACAGAAACCCTTCCTCACAATTCTTGGAATCGATCAACAGCTTATACAGCACGAATATTATAACCGGTGTCAGGCACGAAAAGCTCTATTCTGCAATTAGGAATATACAAAAAGCCTTTTTTGCACAAGATCACTGTGCGGCAACAAAAGAATCTTATTTCATTCAAATAGCTATGAATCGTAGTAGACAATAACAACGTACAATAAATATTAGAGCGTATACATCTAGCGAAATAGAGCAAAGCTTCTTCTACAATCCTGTTATGTTCACAACCCCTGAAGTTAATTATCTATCGAATAATTATTATTTATCCACAATGACGCTGAGATATTTGCAAAACTCTGGACCACGGGTGTCTGCATGGGGGACGAATGCGTTATTAGCCTTTCCGGGGCTAACGAGTTTACCACCACACTATGTGAGTCGCTCGTTTCTCCTATCTCTCAGCTGATTCTATCGATCGGTGCCATCAGCAATCATCCGTCAACGAAATTGATCTGCGGAGCCCAAATCGGCAGTGCGGTCGTAAAAGGATAAAAGGATAAACCTTTCCGTGTTGATCAATCCCTGAGAGATGCTCCATGCATTCGACTTCATTAAGTATAGTTTGGAGGTGATTGAATGCATATCTGGCTTTACAATGACTCGCGGTGGCCTACCGATGTATCGAGCCAGTGCTGATATCCTCCCAGGCAAGTCTGCTAGCAATTTGCAAACCACGGAGGAATGGAAGGCTTGGACCACGGGGCCATGGGCACTGGGATCGTTTCCACGTGTGTGTCGCAGCCGCGCCTCCAACTACTGTGCCACACACGCCTTTGCGGTTGTATCACAGATATTATCCTGCTGTAAAGAATTGTAATAGGCAGTAAATAAAAAGTTAACATTGTGATTTCGACTACAGCTTCAGTTTAACTGGGTTCATTGCCGATTTGGGTTTCCTAGATCTATTTTGTTAATAGGCGGTTGCGGGTGGCGCTCATCGATAGAACTATCTGAGAGTTAGGGGAAACGAAGGACCTGCATGATGAGGTGGTGAACGCGTTAACCCCCGAAAGGGTAATAACGCGTTCGTTCCCCACCGCAGAATCCTGTGGTCCGGAGTTTTGCCAATATCTCAACATCATTGTGGTTGTATCACACGTAGTACCCTGCCGTGAAGAATTATAATAGACAACAGATAAAAGTTAACATTGTACTTATTATTTAATTTCAGAAAAACCAGCAAAAATCTTGGGAACTTAGAACTGAACTTTGTTCCAAATGGCAGCGATGCTAAAAAACGAACAGGTGTCATATGCTGAAATTGAATGTGAGGAAGGCAGATGAGAGAAAGGTGAGAAGATGTGAAGTTATTATCACTATTAATATAGTTACTGTGAAATTATCTTCATTACTGGTTTTAAGGTTGATTTATGCTCCTTCCATTGTTTCTTTTGAGTGGGGATTCTTAAAACACTGAGTTTAAGAAGATCACTTTACATCAAGTCATACCACTGTTGTCTACTAAAAAAGGAACAAAGACTGCTGTTACGCCGACCTTGCAGGCGGTACGGCATCAACTTCTACATCGATGACAGCTTGACTTCCAGGCTGAATTGTCAAGTTCGGCACCTGAAAATGAACATTCTTGAGATGAGCAGCAAATCGAATTGAATTCAAGGATGCGGACATACAACGCTCTTACAGCCTTTCGCCACTAATCTATTATTTTCATAGAAAATAAGGAAATAAAATATGGAGTAGGAAAAATAGCAATGAATAATAAATACTGTAAAATGTGATATGTGTGTATGTATGTATGTATTTATGTATGTATGTATGTATGTATGTATGTATGTATGTATGTATGTATGTATGTATGTATGTATGTATGTATGTATGTATGTATGTGTGTATGTATGTATGTATGTATGTATGTGTGTATGTATGTATGTATGTACACGCGGTTACCTGATTAATGAATCGTGGAGCTCGGTGAATGGTGACCGAAGTCTGGCCCTCTTCTGTCGCCATTGATTTTTCCACAATCGTCCAATCATCATTCTGATGCTCGACTTAAATAATTTCGTTATTGTTTAATACTATCGAACCTGTTACTGGCACATCCAAAGAGTGTACAAACTTTTTTGCAGTTCTAAATTTTAACGACCGTGTAACCTCTCACATGGGCTCACAGCTTGAGGACATAAATAACAACAACTGTGTTTTTCCTAGTAGTCAAATTCTATCGAATAAAGATTATAATGGTGTAGTACCCGACTATAAACCGCTACCGTAGGTGAGGGGTATGAGTCTTCTTATCCCTTCTTTATTTTGTTTCATTTCGTTGTTTAAATAGTAAAAAGACCGAAAATAATTTGGAATGAAGTTACAAAACTTCACTTTCATAGCCCGATACGAATATCTGAGCTGTTACATAAACAACGTTGCAAAGAGGATTTCTTCAAAGAATGTTTACCACTTATTAAATAACTCACAATTGACAGTAATGTAGCCATAGCTTGTACTAACTCCAGCTGGATTACGAGCTGTGCATTTATAGACGCCTTGTTCCGGTTCTTTCACCGTTAAAGTGGTGATGTTCAGTCCGTGACGAGCCCGAAACCGACGTCGATCCTAAAAGAACAATGAGCAACAGCTAACACCTTTGTGATGAATAAAAGTATCGTGAGCATCAACTAACTGCTCATCCTCCATACCAGCTCTAGTAAAGTGCGTTTTTTTGTCGGATCTGCTCAGAATTTATCTATTCTAGTCTCTGCATCTTTTTCAGGTCTTTCTTTTTCTTTTCATCTTTTCTTAGTAAACCTTTTCCATGAGTCATTATTAAATATTATTACTATTCGTGTTGGGAGCCGTTGTTGTTATTGGCTATGCTACTATAACTACCAGTATCAATTATTGTTTTTGGTACGCTGACCAGTAATATTTGTTATTTTCTTGAATCATTAAGGTAATACAAGGTGGCTGAAGAACTCTTATTCGGCTAATGTTTCGATGTCTTCGCCCTTTTCAGAACCAGATTGATTCGAGTCGATTGTCCACAGTCGTGCATTCGTACGATAAAGGTCTTCATAGTCTCAGTGAGCCGAATCCCCTGGAGTGGAACACCACTGGCATTAAACAGTTAAGCAAGAAGAGTCGCAGAATACAATGACGGATACAACTAAATGATCGAATGTTTAACGTTTTGTTTTCTGCCTTCTATAATTTTCATGGCAGGTTACTAAGCGAAATACAACCACAACGTTGCTGAGATATTTGCAAAACTCTGGACCGCAGGTGTCTATGGTGGGGAACGAACGCGCTATTATCCTTTCCGGGGAGTAACGCGTCCACCACAGCAATCACCCGTCCCCAGATCAACCCCGCTGACGGGTGATTGCTGTGGCAAAAAGGTCGATAGAAATAGCTGAGAGACGTGCGAAACAAAGGACCCGCATGGTGTGGTGGTGAACGCGTTACTCCCCGGAAAGGATAATAGCGCGTTCGTTCCCCACCATAGACACCTGCGGTCCAGAGTTTTGCAAATATCTCAGCAACGTTGTGGTTGTATTTCGCTTAGTAACCTGCCATGAAAATTATAGAAGGCAGAAAACAAAACGTTANCACCACAGCAATCACCCGTCCCCAGATCAACCCCGCTGACGGGTGATTGCTGTGGCAAAAAGGTCGATAGAAATAGCTGAGAGACGTGCGAAACAAAGGACCCGCATGGTGTGGTGGTGAACGCGTTACTCCCCGGAAAGGATAATAGCGCGTTCGTTCCCCACCATAGACACCTGCGGTCCAGAGTTTTGCAAATATCTCAGCAACGTTGTAAATGATCGAAGTTCAATCTATGTGCAAATCAGAAGAATCTACTACACGATGAATACGATACAAGTAATTGATGAAGGATGCATCAGAATCCCCACATGTGAATGTTGATCATTATCAATTTGGAAGGCGCGTAGAAGAGTGGTTAGAGACGCCCTGCGATACACGAGGGATCGATCCCATGCTCCAGGCTCACCAAACCTTCCATCCGTCCAGGGTGGGCACAATGGTACGAGACCTGTGTGGAAGAATAACAGCACTGATTCTATACATCAGTAAGCCACCGCGAGTCGGTGTATGGACCAGATATGCATTCAGTCACCTCTCACGGTACTTACTGAAGTCGAATGAATGGCGCATCCCTCAAGGATTAATCAACGCCGAGAGCTTTATCTTTTTATTATCGTTCTATTGTGGTTACTATTATTATTACGTTTGTTTCCGTTTTTATTTTCACAACATTTTGTCACTCCATTACAGTTGGAATGTTGTCTAGGTATCGAACTATGATTTATGGCGTGTTCATTACCAACAGGTGTCGCCCAAACTGAAAAGCTTCACATTCCCGTCCTGAAGCTCATCAGCATACCACGGAAAACGCAGTGGTGCCCCTGTAGGTACTTTGTTATCAATAGTACGTGAAGAAGGACACTATTCCAAAAATGAGCTGTTTCTCATACCTTTGAGCAAGCCGAGCTCACGTGGCAGCTGTGGTACGCGACTATCGCGAGTAGAGTTTACTGGAACCCGCTAGAGTTGATTAATATTTAATGGATCTATTTATTATTTTTACTATTTATCATTATTAGAGGTCCATTTTTGTAGAAGTCGTCAAGAGGCAGGTGCACCACTGTTGACTTAAACGATCTCGCAGTGAACTTTCTGTATAGGCCTGATCCCGTAAAGTGCTGTAGTGCTTGTATAAAAGAAGACATTAAGGAGAGGACTTAAACGATGGTTCTAAGCGGAGAAATTGAGGTCTTGGCATTGATTTCGTCATTTTCAACATTTCAAAATCGTATTATACAAAGAAATTTCTCGCAAGCTATGCATTATCTTCATAACCAGATCTTAACATTCTACAACAACATAACTATTAGCTTTAAAGAAAGGAGATCGATAAGGTATAATTTTTCCCACCGAGTATCGACTACTCAAAAAAGCAGCTGGACAGTTTTTTTCTGCTAGAACCTTAAGCAAAAAACATGCTTCTCGCTGCATTTTGCGAAAGGGCAGAACTCACTGAGCAGCTTTGACAATCGAAATGGATGGACGAATTCCTCTTTAGTGAAGCTCATTTCGAAATACTCAGAAATAAAATTTATTGTTATTATCGCCGGTATTGGACAGACTTTGTCTATGCTGTCCTCAGGACTCCAGGGGTCCGCAACGGCTAAACCAGGAAATCACAGGAGAACGGAAATTATGCTGGAGCCCGCATAACCAGTGAAGACGGGCCATCCAAGTATCCAAATATCGCTGTTCAGTTATAGTTGACGTTGATTATTGTTCCTTTCGTTGTTTTGACTACATTCCGCTTTAGAAGACACTGGTAGCCCTGTCTCCTTATTTTTTCTCGATCGAAATCTTGTTTTTTAGCACTCCATGTATTGATCGCCTTGACCATCTTTCTACTGCGTCGGCGTATTTTTATGTTTTGCTTGTATTATTGAACATGGTAATGATTCACAAATGAAAATTGATTTGAGCGACAGAAGTGTCGAATCAATGTTATGAGATTTGTCGTGAATAGAACTCTTAAAATCACACTTGATCACTGCCGTCAAGGCTGCGGTAGCGAAATAAGAACGGCGATAAGGTAATACCTGTTGTACTGGCCTATCATTACAAAACCATTCAAAGATTGCTGGAGGCTCGGACACCACTTCCACAACCAACGTCGGCATATCGCTTGACAAAACACGATAAGCTTTGATTACCTGGAACCGTATAGTTTTTCAGTACCATTCAAGAAAATGAAAATGGTGAAAAAATGTTACTTAATAGTTTAAGAAAGATTTTATGAATTTTTAGATTTTCTCAGTAGTTTTAAGCTCGTATCGTTTACGCGTCTAGTGAACTCTCTACTAATGAGTCGTGAGACTTCTTGTTCATTTGACTCCTAGCCTATATTCAATGCAGACATGTTTTTGAAAGACAATGAAACGAGAAATCCGTTGTTTTTATTAAATTCCAATACCTTTTAAGAAATGACACTATAGTTTTAAATTTGTCCTTAAAGGCCAAAATTATGCACAGAGTCGTCAACCACATGCGACTATAATCAGCTGTTCTAAACTTCCTCATTGGAAGTCACGAAAAAAGCGGCTCTGAAGAAGGCGATACTGCCGAAACGTCAGCTAGTGTTGTATTGTATTGTGTTTTTATGGAAGTAAATGTATGCTGTTTAAAAACCTCGCGATTGCTGAACAAGAAAACGACACATTATGCACAGTGTCCAGGTCAGTTCGTCAGCAAGTGTTAGCGTTTGTTGGTATTTTGTGTTTTTCCTCTAAATCTTGTTTACTTCTTATCATTAAAAAGTCCATTTTGAGTTTTCCCATCTATTAGTTTCAGATTTTGATAGAATTATTTAAAATGAGAAGATAAATAATGTGGATTTAAATTGGTCATATATTCTGTGTCCAACACTATGCGTTAACCTAACACTCTCATCCAACTCCTATTCTTTTCGTGGTTATTGATTTACCTACTGTTTTTTATTGTTTTTTATTTCCTAATAAAAACATGAAGCGCGCGTGTAGCGCACTGGTCGGAGGCGCCCTGCAACACACACGTGGAATCGATCCGCACTCCCATGGCCCAGCAAGCCTTCCATCTCTCCGTGGTCGGCAAATTGGTACCAGGCTTGTCTGGGAGGATAGTAGCACCGATTCGATACATCGGTAGGCCACCGCGAGTCATTGTGAAGACCAGATATACATTCGATCGTCTCCAACGACGCTCAACGAAGTCGAATGCATGGTGCATCCCGCAGGGATTGATCAACGCCGAGAGCTTTACCCTTTATTTTTCAACAAAAATGTGCTACGTAGTTTCTCATTTACTAAAATTGCTTTCCTAAACACAGACTCTGCAGAGCACTAGTATTTTGATGTTAGTCCGATTTGTGATTCAAAGCAGTATCCTCTTCACATTCGAAGAAGATTCGCTGCATGGATGCCCTCTTCATGGAAAAACAGTAGAGCTCATTGCAATCCTCTCGCTGAACCCTTCCAAGACATTCGTTAATGTTTTTGAGCAAATAATTTTTTTTCAGGTCATTCACTGTCTCCCATTTCAAGAACAAAATCGATTGTCTTATTTGCTTTTAAAGCCATATTTACCAGTTCTTCCTTGCCGGCGGGTTTGAGGTGAGGAAATAATCTTTTTCTAATCAGCATTAACGTATTTTTAGAAATCCTTTATTCATAATATTATAGAAGGTCCATATAATAGTCAGTAGGTAGGTTCTCTACAGCTTCTTGTGTAAAACTCTCATGCTGTCTGTTTAAAAAAGGATAAAGCTCCCGGTGTTGATCAACACCTGAAGGATGCGCCCTGCATTTCACGTCACTAAGCATATTTTGTAGGTGAATGAATGCATATCTGGCCTTTACAATGACTCACGGTGGCCTGGCAATGTATCGAGCCAGTTCTCCTATCCTCCCAAACAAATCTGGTATCAATTTGTCGACTACGGAAAGATGGAAGGCTTGGTGGGCTATGCGCGCAGGGATCGATTCCATGTGTGTGCTGCAGGACGCCTCCGACCACTGCGCCACACGCGCCCTACAGTCTGTTTTAGCAGATATTTTTGTTCGTCGACAAACCTGAATAAATTTCGGTGGAGCTGCTGCGATGAAACTCTTTATTTCGCTACTCCAGTGCTCCTCGGTAAATGAATTTGATTGCATTCCCATCGACCGTAATACATGCGTCTCAAGCACTGTCGCGTTTCCCGAGCGGAAAATCGCTTCACGATCTAAATATGCATACCATCATAGGATAGAACTTACACACAATAGACAGTGCTGTCATCTATAAGTAGAAGAGGTCATTTAAACGCTGCAATATAGCTGTTGTTTTTCTGTTTAGTCTTTTCCTTACCTCTGATCGCTGCAGATAAGATTAATATGAAGCATAACACAAGTTTTCAGCAACAGATTCGTTAATGATACCTCTTCCCCACCTCTCAATATTTAATTTACGCCATTTTTGTTAATATGGTGTAAACATAACAGGGCGATAGAATAAGAAATAGTGGGTGTGAGCTATCAACTATTCTCCCAATACAGCCACAACGATGCTGAGATGCTAGCAAAACTCCAGACCGGAGGCCGTTACCCTTTCCGGGGGCTAACGCGTTCGCCACCACACCATGCGGGTCCTTCGTTTCACCTGTCTCTCAGTTTATCCCCTAATAGTTTGCCGCTCCATTGTAATTAGAGGTGTTTTTAGTTGCCGAGCGGCGATGTACAATGGAGGGTTTATTTCTCCACGTTGGTCTCTAAAATTTAGAAGGATGTCAACATTTCCAGCTTCGCTGCTTAAAATACAAGCCTTGAAAAAAGAAAGACATGTGGCCTCCAGAGGCAAAAATTCATTGCAGTAAAATCTGAGTTCTCCCAACGGTTTACCGCCTCATCGTAGCTGGTAGGTGTTCCTATGTGTCGGACTGCGTTGTGCAGGGGGGGGGGGGATTCGTCACCCCGGGAGGGTCTACCAAGCTGAGAAGGAGTCCGGTATTTCCATCAGGAAGCCTAGCTAAGAATAAACCAATGCCAGGATCTACCACCATCCTGCTATCAAAGTCGCATGGTGGCAAATCTTTCTCTGATTCATAAAGGCTGCGACTGCCTGTGTTGGTGAAGACCTGGGGCAGATTTTGGCCACGCTGATCTCGGGATTCCAGGGAGCCACAATGGCTTAACCAGCAGATGTCTAAAAAATGGAGATGTGGGGCCCGCGCAATCAGTGAGAATGGGTCATTCAAGTATCAAATATCAAGCAAAATCCGATGACTTGAAGCTTGTGAACAAAGTCTCGTAGATTCTACCGTTTTCTTTCAATTACTATGCTGCTGAGATATTTGCAAAACTTGGACCTTGGCTAGATCAAACCGCGTTTATCTTTTCCGAAGACTCACGTGCTACGTATTGCACCGCTGTGTCCTTATTTTGCATTTCTCTCAACCAGCAATTTATTAAGCTTACTAAGAACAGCGGCATGTCTGTTTAACGTTGAAAGTCCAAAACATTTCAAAGCACGATACCATTGAGGTCAATGCGCATTGAAACGAATACGTTAACTCTATGTTACCCAGAACTGCAATTCTTTATCAGTAGATTTACCTGTGCGAAATGCAGTAGACGGACTGCTGGGAGCTGTGGCGACGCGACGCGGGGACGGCATTCCGTTCCACCCATTGCCGTCAATCTCTACCCGAAGCTCGCGCTGCTCGGAGCGTGGAGCGGTATCGTCGTTCGGGCGGCGATCCATCGCTCTTGTTCTCACAAGCTGCAGCTCCTAGAGCTCGTTCAGCACTAGTCGAATAGGACTAGCACAGCTAGCCTGTAATGATTATCTCGCCTAGCTTATTATATTGTACTTCATTCGTAGTACAAATAGAAGTGCAATCACGAGGCAGTGAACCAAGCTGTATTTCACCTGGAAGAAGAGAATTTCCGCTTTTGTTCATGACAATGTGTATGCATTAGGCCCTAACAGAATTATTAACCATTTTCTTGAAGAAATCGAACGAAATAGTAGCACAAGTCCTTCATTTTTTAATAGAAGTCCGTTGACACGATCACTGTGCTACAAAACCTGGTCATTATAAGGTTTTGTATGCGCTGGAACCGAAAAATTCTACTAAGCAGAAAAAGAAGAGTAACCGCATTTTGCTTCATGATTGTCGTATAACTAACCAAAGTAAGCAGTTGAAATAGAATACTTGATTAGGAATACGAGCTGTTATGGAGAATAAATGTAAAAAAAAAAGAAAGGAAAGAATGACACCCCTTGCCTTCATTTTTTTCTCTTGACTTCTGTGTGATTTGCAGATAATTGTGTCTGTTGTTATCTTGCCATAGATACCACTGCTTCATCGTGCCTATTGGTGGTGCTGCGATGTTGAGCTGCGGCGTGTAGCATGGAATTCATTTTCTAGTGGGGTTACTGAGACTGTAGAGGTCGACTTTTCAGCCCAAAAGGCAATAAACCCGTGCCATCAGAGTGAGACGTTTAATCGCGGCTTTGCATGAGAAGAACATCATACGAGGAGTGTGATGTTGTCCATGTATTTCAAGCGAACAGGGAGAACTGAGCAGGCTCGATGCAGTACCGTAACGACTGGAATTTTACTGGCTTCCTATTGAGTTACTAGATTTCTGATAAGATTCCAAGCAAAGCAGGCAAAAGTGTTTTTTTACGAACTTTTTTATTTTTTGCAATTTTTATCTCATCTAATTCCTCAAGAGGTCCGTCGATACTTCTTTAGAGAACTTCACAGCTCTCAAATTATCGGTCAGCTCTAAGCCTATTGGAATCCATTCGCTAGTTTCATACAATAATTATAATTGTGCACATAGGAATAATTAGGAATCCCGACGATGTGCGATAATTATCATTTACTGTTTAACGCGATCTTTCTTACTCGTTAGTCTTACCAGTATCGAGCGCATAGGACTTTCACTAAAAAATCAGCAACCAACGTTGATTTCGCGATGGCTAAGAAGAAACCGTGATGTCATCCACTATTTAAAAACTGTAAATGTTGGTTTTTTACAATAATAAGCTCTCATGATATAGCCACTCTTGGTATTAGAGCTTTATTTGACAAGCTATCACTGAAATGCTAAAAGTAGGATAAAAAACCTTTGTAAATCACTGAACAGGCGTGACCACATTTCAGCTTACGTAGTCGTTTTCACTTTAAAACTTTGACAATTATCAATTAGAGCCGGTGTTGAAAGAGTGCAAAGATGTACAGTGCCCTTGGCTCATAAGCATTTCACACTCGAGACATATGTTCTCCTAATGACGTATACGTTTACCGCAAGAACCTCCATTTAGAACTATCGATAACAGTTACACTAAGTTATAATGGATGACAGATGTTTTGCATTCCTAAACTTTCTTCTTACGATGGATGAATTATACCAGATTTCTCCTAGGAAATTGTTGTCGTCGTGTCTGGGAACGAGTGCTCTTAAGATTTTGATAAAACTCATAGACATAAGGTAGTATCCGAATGAGTTCATCGCTCGTTTGATGTTCATCTACACTTCGAAAGATTACATGACTTATCAAAAGGTCCTATAGGCTGAGACAATCCAGTCGTGTTTTAAGTCGGACTCCACAAAGCTTGCTATCAAGCAATCAATGCATCAATCAGTGACCTTTCGAACGCAGATCTTAATTTACACTGACAAATTCGCACTTGCCTACACCGAAGCATAAGATTGGATCTTTTACAATTATCAATCAACAATACAATACAGTACGATTTTTAAAATCACTTTTACAGTACGTAACGGAATGAATTGCCATGGCGTGCAAAATGAAAGGAGGTAGAAATGAGAATGCTATGCAAATATGAGAGCTATTTGAAAAACAGAGTTGTAGTTATTTTGTTTTCTACATCGAACGCCGAAAAACGATACTGTCAACTCTCCAAAGATAAATCTCTACTGGAGAGTTTGAAAGTAGGGTTGTCGTAGAGTGAATAGAACAAGGATTTTGAGGGTGCCTACCAGTTTACGGCTTCAATGGTGATGTATATTGCTTTATTTTCACCTCTTAGGTAATTCGATAGCAAGCTCTAGTCGGAAAATATTCTATGAATTTGGCATTCGAAAAAGAATTTCTTTAGATTTTACGAAGGCACACCTAAACGATGTAGAGCTGGTTGGCATGGAATTCAGAATAGCCAGTTACGATTTGCAAAACTGATACAGTAACGATGGAGTTATGAGAAGTATATGTAGTCTGTTAGATGCCCCTTCCCAGTAGTGCAGACACCTCACTAACATCCCCATGTGACGACTACGAAATTTCAGCTGTCTTATGATGATCAGTAACCTCAGTTATGATAACTTTTCATGTTTCGCGGAAAGCTTTTCGTTCATAAGAAAGAAGGCGCTTCGTTATTCTTTTTTGCTACAAAATTCTTTTGAATAGGGTGGCAGTTTAATTGAGGCGCAAGTTTTAAGAACTTGTTCCCATCACTTGAAGTGTGCTATTCTATCAGTCTTATGTATCCGAGTAGTTCTCTGTCTAATCACTTAGATCATCTGTGATAAGATGCTATGCAAGTTCTTCTCGATAGCCTCCCTACTACAGATATTGTGTCAGATTACTGCATTCTAAACACCACCATTAACAAGAAAAAAACTGTCGCCGAAGCAAGTTTTATCGTCTTCGTAAGTTCCACGGCTATTTCCTCCTAACTCTACTGATGGAATTAAGCAGAGATTCTTGCTCGTGAGGAGAATACTAAGATAGAACCACAATGATGCTGAGATATTTGCAAAATTGGGACATTAATCCAGATTCGAATCCGCGATTACCCGTTTTGGTGGCTCATGTGTTACCCACTGCATCACCGATACCATTGCTTATGCCTTTCTCTTAGCCAGGTTTTTACCCTAATCATGTAAATTTGGCTGAAGGAGAGGCGAAGTAAAGGCCGCGGTGGTACAATGGGTTACAAACGAGCCGCGGAAAAGGTGATCGCGGAGTTGAACCTGTATTGGTGTCTGAGTTTTGTAAATATCTCAATGTTACTGTAGTTGTACTTTACGTAATATCCAACCATGTAATAGGTGGTAAATAAAATGGTGGATACTAAGATATACGAGATTTCTCTGTTATAAAACACGGAAAACTGCTAGAACGACTTTCTTTCATACTGTACTGAGATATTAGTGCATACAGAAGACTATTATTGACTAGGGCAATGCAAAGACGTTCCTGGAATGAATAGCATTTCAGGCACTACGCATTGAGTCCACTGCGCAGCGCCAGCGAAATTATTTGTCGTCCGTATTGCAGCCAGCAGTGATTTTGCAAACATATTAATTAATATCCCTGCAGGAAAGCAGTCCGGCTTGGATTTCTTGAATGAAGGACGAACCAAGTTTTAGCCGTCCTAATCATATTCTTACAGAAGGAATCGGAGGCTAACACATCACTGCATGGATTTTCCGACTATAGTAGGGGAAAACTCCTTTGGTGACAGTAATTATCGAAACAAAGCGCTTCATAACATGTTGGGATGTGTAATAGTCGTTGGTCTAAAGGTATCACGACTGTGGCAGTATTTGTGAGAGTTCAAAATACTTAGAACAGTTGCCTGTCTTTTCTTTAAGTAAAAATGTTTTATGTGAAGGCCTGCCTTCGCAGACTTGCAGGCACACTGCTCAATGATGACTAACTGCAAGCGATGTGTACAGTTTGCATCCGAGTCGACAAAGTGAAGTACTTACTTTGTGCTTCATAACTCACTATGGATATCCGGACAGGTTTCACTTTTACCATTTGGGTAAATTTCTGGAGAATATTGGGCACAAAGTTGAAATTATAAACCGTTTTGAAATTGGTCAAATCTACCGATATCGTTCATTCTTTTTTCCCTTATTATCATCCATTTCTCTTTTTTCATACTTAAATATGAAATTCTCTTGCAAAAGAATGATGTATTTGATAATTTAAAAAGCGTGGTGTGTTCATTGAACGCTATTTACTTTTACAATATGGTTTCTCATTGTTGCTACAATGTAACAGCTGACATATTTTTTTGGCTATCTTAATTTTGCAGTTATGTGATGGATCTCGACATCAGTAAGAAAGAAGGAGATATCTTTCCTCCACAGGTTTCTCAATCTCGTGTATTCCAGATGAACATGACGATAAAACAATGTTTGGACGCAGAGATACCGTCAGATGTGATAGAAGTAATTTAAATTATAGTACCCAAGAAAGTATTATTTCCCATTGTTACAGTATCCTCATGAATAGGGTAGGTGAACTAACAGTTAAGCTAATGCGGCTGGACTCCACTTATTAACATTGATGGCGAAACAATAGTTAGCAATAACAATCGACTAACAAGTCCTTTTCTAAGAATCAGAGGTTAGAAAATGTCATTTGGTGGTGAAAGTGAGGAATGGGCGAGTAATGTAAGCGAATTGATCAACATTCCCAGATTTTTGGCACTACAGTATCCAAGAAACCCTTTTTCTCAAATATTCTTGTCATTTGGGATGAATAGACATTAAAGCTATGTTAATAAGCTTTTCAGAGCTCTCAAATTCTAAAAGGTCTACGACACAATGCCGAATTTACTCATGTCTCCGTTATTTTCATCAATCGGCGTTTACCACGAACTAAGCAGAAGACTATGTTATATCAGTGAGAAGCGGATTGGAAGTGATTAGGATTGAACTCCACAAGAACATACATTAACGGGAATGTGTCGATCATGCTACCGACGTGCA